CCATCTTTGTCTCGTTAAGTATGAAAGCGAATGGACTGGCGTACCCGTAGCCTCGAGACATTAAGATACGGCTGGCGTACCTCCAGCCACTGCGAAACATAAATCTCTGGCTATGGAGCTATATTCAGACACCTATAAAAATGTGAAGGCATCTTCCAGGTTGCAGTTAATAGTCATTTCATATAACATAACAATCATCATCCTTATTCAATTCACGAAGTTATATGGGTGTATGAAACTTATTTACTTTGCAATTGACGAACAAAATCTATACCGCGGGCTTCAGAACACACACTCGGAAACGGCCTGAGAAAATTAACCCCAGCGACGCTTACTGAAATCGTGATAGCTCCTGAACCCATAAACCAATCATGACAATTCAAGTATCACTGTAATCTACTGGCTGAGATCTATCCAGTGGTGCTATTTATGGGCTTCCAACTTATCTGAAAATTTTTCGACCCGTATCCCTAGCCATAGGTAATAATACTTACAGCATATAGTAGGACCTTGCCCTCCTTGTCCTCCTTCGCATAAAGCATGTTGTTACTGAGAAGGAATACAAGATATAAGCATACAAGACTACCAACCCAAAATAACAACTTAATCCATTTCAATTCACTCAACTATTAACATTAAGCCCTATCATTTCTACAGGTCAGAGGTTTAACAAGTAGAGTAACTTCAAGGTGCGAAATTAGCGCGAGTCCGGAGTGAAATACTCCCTGATTTACTGCCGAACTCCCTAATTTTACATATGCAGGAGTACGTGCGACTTCTTGAAAATTCTGTTATACAAATTAGTAGTAGTTCGTTCCAGAGCACGGCCTCACGGAATTACCGTATTTTTCAGCAAATGTCCAAAGAAAATATGGCAGACGCGCATGGCAATAATCTTCAAAATAAGCACATGTTTCCATTATTGTTGTTATGCTAAATAGTTTTGAACTGCAGACTCCCTCATTTTGCTACGGACTCCCTCTTTTTGAAGGGCAGGGAGTCCGTTGGACTCGTCTCCCTTGTTCAAAAGTTAATTTCTACCCCTGTAACTTATTGGGTAGGTGGTCTACACTACAGAATCTAACACACTACCAAAAAATTATAAGTAAGGTTATGAGCTGTGAACTTCATGACATGAGTATGAATTGACTATGACTTAGCTCTAGTACTATTGCCCGCTTACAGTTGCCGCAAGCCTGCGGCAACTGTAAGCGGGCTATTATACTACTACTAGTACTAGTACTAGAGTAGCTCCAAGAAATGGCATTGCTAGGGTTAGAATACCGTTTCAAATTCTTGCCCATAAATCCTTGTAGTTGGCTCGGTATCCAACTATCGACACAGCTAGCGTAGCATGTAATAGCTCAAACGAATCTATAAACCTCTGGCTTGCTCGCGGTAACTGGGCGCTACTG